AGAGAGAGAGAGAGAGAGAGAGAAAGAGAGAGAAATGGAGGAAGATGAAGGAGAGAAGGCAAAACCTTTCTCCCTGGTACCTGTCACGATAGCTATGGCGCTGAAAGGGCTGGCTCTGGGCCGGTGGCTGGCGCTGGGCCGTGGGCTGGGCCAGTGGCTGGCGTTGCTTCCAATGCTGCGCTACTTCCTCTCTGCCGCGGAGCTCCTTCTCTCCTCGCTGCTCCTTGTAATGCCGCAATGCTGCGCTAATCCTGCTAACGCCGAAATGCTGCGCTAATCCCGAAGACTAACCTCCTGTCGATTCTAACCTACCGTCTGACGCTGGTACCCAGCCTTTGTAGTGTTGGGCTGGCCTCCTGCCTATTGGTACCTACCGGCCTGGACCGTTGATCTGATCACCGGTCCAAAACTGGACTTGACCCCTAAACGCGGCAGCCACTGAAACTGCATTGCCGGTAGGTCCTATGCTGGACCGGTACAGGCCTTGTGGTCGTTGGCCTGGGCCCCTACCCCTGGCCTATCTGAGCTGCCGTACCCCTGGCCAACCTGGGCCTCATCTGAACCGTCAAACCCCTTAGGCCTTCCCTGCCTACCTGGAACCTGGCCCTAACTGGGGCCCGTGTGGCTCAAAATTCCACACACTCTCCCCCTTAGAGACCGAGCTGACTGCAAGGGCGAAGCTATCTATCCGATGTCCGGACGGGTCGGGCGGGTTGGGCAACTTCCTTTTCGAGTCACTGTTTTTCGTAGTGTGCGAAGATGAGGGGTGTTGACGCCTTCAACTCAACTCGTGAAATCCAACGTGTGTCGTCGGGCTCGCATTGTCTGAATGTAACTTTGTATTGCATCGGCTTATTGTCGTGCTTGCGATGGCCGAGGACACGGTCGACCTCCTGATGACCGTCCATTGAAGGAGGGTCATGGGACCGTCTGCCTGGGGAGTCTGCTCGGGAGGGCGAAGTGTAGACCGCCAGCTTCAAAGTGTGAAATACCGGGTGGGCTGTCAGATGCGTGGGGATCTCGATTACGAAAGATGGACCCACGGGGTCGTCGCCAGCTGCTGAAGTGACCTTCCATGGTCCAAACCACTTGGGGAGGAGCTTGCGCGAGACGTGCTGCTCGAGCGCGAATTCCTCGGAGGTGACCCAAACAAGGTCGCCAGCGCGGATTGGACATGGGATGCGATGCCTGTTTGCTTGCTGCTGCATACGGACCTGAGTCTTTTGCATTTTAGTGCGGGCTTTGGCCAGCAGATCCCGGTACTTCCGTGTCGAAGCGGGGGAGCAAGCGGCGTCGATGTCGCCAGCCCGTGGAAGCAAAATGTCTGCGAAGATACGTCCTTTCCGTCCACCGTGACGCAACTCGAATGAAGTCACGCCAATCGCCGGATGCACCGAAGTGTTGTAGGCGAACTCGATGTCCGGAAGGCGGTCAACCCAGTCCTTTTAATCCGGGCGGATGAGTGTGCGGAACATCATCTGCGCAGTCTGGTGCGCACGTTCCGTTTGCCCATCCGTTTGAGGGTGCCGGATTCCATCATGAGTGTCGTCCCAAAGGCTAACATGAAACGAGTGTCGTGGTCGCTGACGATGTCTTCTGGAACGTTGTGGCTGCAAAACCAGCCGGTATGCAAAAGTCGTGCGAGCTCGGGAGCCGTCGCATGATACTTGCATGGAAGAAATCTAGCGTACTTGCTCAAACGGTCGACGACCGTGAGAATACCATCAATGGCCAAGGCGATCGTGAGGGAAAGGACCGGTCACGTCCATAGCAATGGAGAGACCCGGTTCCCGAGGAATTGGCAATGGTTTCAGTTCGCCGTATGGGAGCTAATGGCGCCCTTTGCTCCAGTGGGAAACTGCACATGACTGAACGTACTGATTGACGTCGCAGATGATGTCCGACCAGTGAAATCGCTAGCGGAGGGTGTTAGTGTGCGTGCGACGCCAAGGTGTCCTGCCAGCCACGAATCGTGGTATTCGCCAAGCAGGTGAGTGCGCAAGATGCGGTCTTGAGGAATACACAGCAAGTCCTTGCCTCGTGTATGGAGAAGCAAGTAGTCGTTGACAATGCGATAATTGCTTGTCGACAGTTGATTCAATGATAAGTCCGCATAGAGTATGGAGAATCCCGGATCCGACTTGTAGCCGTTTACGAAATGCTGTTGCATGTCCTCGTCGAGGCCAAATGTGGAGTGCACCAAGGCGCAAATGCCGCAAAGATCAGGTCTTCGCGACAGAGTATCCGCTGCCTTGTTCGAGGAGCCCGGTATATGCTTAGAGGTGAAGTCGAACTGGTCGATGAAATACATCCACCGACCAATCGTGCTGCTCACCATGTCTTGCGTCTTGTAATAAGTCAACAGATTGTTGTCCGTTGCCCACGTGAATTGCCGACGCCTGAGGAGAAAGTGACGCCAGTGCTTAAGTACGGTGACAAAAGCTAGCAGTTCCTTCTTCCTCGCATCATCAAGTGTATTGATGGGTGGCACCTTTTGGCTGAAGTACTCAACCGGATGCCAGTCTGTGTCATCATGCTATTCCAAAACCGCGCCGATGCCGTAGCCAGAAGCGTTCGTAGTCACTTTCGTAGGCAATGTCGGGCCATAGATGCTTAAGATAGGAGCTTGGAGCAAGGCCGTTTTCAGTGTATGGAACGCGTGTCGGGCTTCGTCATTGAACTTGAAGGGCACCAAAGGGGACTGAAGTCGCGACAATGGTGCAGCAACGATCCGTTGAAAACCCTTGACGAAGCGCATGTAATATGATGCTAAGCCAAGAAAGAAGCGGACGTCGGTAGTACACTTGAGGTCCGACCAATCTTGAATGGCTTGTACTTTGTCCGTGAGCGGACGAATGCCTTGCGGCGTAACGTAATGGCCTAAGTACTCCAGCTCTTGCTGGGCAAACTCGCACTTGTCGCGGTTCTCCTTATACTTGACGATACAGAGCCGCTCTAAAACGATGCGAAGGTGCTCAAAGAGCTCGTCCAGCGACCGACTATAAACCAAGATATCATCAAGGTAAATGAGTACGGTGCGGTCGAGCAGGTCGCGGAATTTCGTCGTCATCACCGCTTGGAAAGTAGCCGGGGCATTGGTGAGACCGAAAGGCATGACGATCCACTCAAAGTGTCCATAACGCGTCTTGAATGTGGTTTTGTACCGATCTCTTGGCTGGATCTCGATCTCATGATATCCGGACTTGAGGTCAAGCTTCGAGAAGTACTTCGCGCCGCCTAGTCGCTCGAGAAGATCATCGATCCGAGGTAGAAGGCCGGTGTTCTTGATCGTTTGCGCGTTAAGTTTTCGATAGTCGATGCATAAACGAAGGTCCTTGTTCTTCTTCCGGACGAAGAGAACGGGAGCACCTTATGGCGAACAGCTAGGGCGAATCCATCCCTTGGCCAACAGGTCGTCTAGTTGTGCCCGAAGCACTTGAAGCTCTTCTTCTCTCATGCGGTAGATATATCTGCGAGGAGGTACGGCGCCATCCTCGAGAGTGATCCCGTGGTGTATGGGCCGATCCGGTATGACTCCCGCTGGAGCTTGAAAGATATCCTCATAGCTTTCCAAAAGCTCAATGATGCGTGGGTCCGATGTGTCCGTCTTGGGCTGATCACCGGGTGGGAGGGCGTGCCCATCTCCTCGATGTCGTTCCGACAGATGGATTGGCGAATGCTCACTGCGGAGACCACGTGACAACCAATCGAAGGATGAGGAAGCGGCAGTGTACACGGGAGTAGTTCACCACGCCGATCATGAACGTGAACGGTGCGTCAATAGAAGTTCACCAGATGGTCTTCGCTTTGCAGCCACGACATGCCTAAGATCATATCGAACTTAGTGTCCAATATATCGAAAGACATGGCCTCGCATGTTAGCGGGGCAAAGTACACGGGCACAGAGTCAGCACAGCGGTCTATTGACTTTTGCATATGACCATCGGCCAACGTGACGTACGTAGGATGACTTTTTCTTCGAACGCGCGGGCCAAGCCCGGTGCTGCCATGAAGTCTTGGCTGATGTAGTTGTGAGACGCTCCACAATCGATCAAGGCACTGCAGGTCGCCTTTCCGATCTGAATGAGGATGTAGAGGAGCGGCGCATCGATGTCGACATACCATTGCGTTGCGTGCTCGTGGTCGATCTTCGCAAGATAGTTCCGAAGGTCAACAGTCGCTACTCCGTCGTCCGTCGACGGAGGTGGTACTGCAGCGTGCAGGTATTCGCGCAAATGTGTCATCAAGGCGTTGCAATGCGGTGTTGGCAAAGAACCGTTGGAGGGAAGAGGCAACAATTGGAAGTCCTCAACCGTCAATAGGTCGAGTTCCTCAAGACTCGCCCAAGTTGATGGATCCTCCAATAGAAGGGTTGGCGAAGCAATCGGTTCGTTGTCCGACGGCGGAACTACCGCACATGCGCTTGAATCTTGCACGTGGAGAGGCTGGTTCAACGGTAAGACCAGCTCAACAACATAGTTCTCGAAATCAATACGAGAACTTGCGACTACCGCGTCATCCCCGGATGTGAGAGAGACTGCTAGCAAGGCAGCTGACTCCGGTGGATTGGGAAGTGATGTCGCTGCACTTCCCGCGGTGCTCAGTTTCTCGAGCTTGGACGCTTGACATTTTCCTTGTCCTTGTCGAGGCATGCGCTTGACAATGTGATGTGTTTGGTGTTGTTGCACCAAAAACAGCATCCCCATTTCTGCCTCAGCTTGAACATGTCTTAGGTGATACTGAATTTTGTCCATGGTGACTATCGTGCTCCATCCGCCAACGTTGGTTAGCCTTATGTTTTCCCCCTCGGGGTCTTGAGCGTTGTGTCGGTATCGCTGCCGCCACATCTTCGTCACTTGATGTAGATGCAGTTGCGTGGTCCTCACTTGATCCTTGTTGGATCGCTGCTACTTGCGGCGTCCGCTAACCTTTTCCTTTCTCCATGTAACCGGGCTGTTGGCGGGCCTCGTTGGCCGTGCGCCGGTTACCTTGTATGAGCTCCCTTGCCTTTGAGATCATGTCATCAAAGGTCTCATACTAGAATTCGCTGCCCAGAGCAGCTGTCAAGGCGTCGCAAGACCGAGCGAAGAATTCGGCCCCGATTGCGTTGAACGGTAAGTTCAACTCCGGGGTGGCAACGAGCCTTTGCCACTCCGCCAGCCACTCCCGTGAAGGTTGCTGGCCTTGAAACATGCGGAAGATCTTGTTCAAGGCGTGACGCTTGTCGTTGTTGACCATGAACCGGGTCTTCCACTTCTTCTCGAATTCCTCCCACATTATCTTGGTGTGGAGGGTGGCGATGGTGCATTCCAACGTGACAGCCATGTGTGTCATGAAAGCCTGCGCCCCTCCGATGAGTTGGAGGTAGAGTGCGTCAAGTCGCCGTAGTGGTGGGGTGTGATATACATCCGCCTCCACGTTGAATGCCATCCACCATTGCAACAGATCGGTCTTGTGGTAGTCGTCAAACTTCTCGATCTTGAAGTTTGGCATCTTCCATTCCTTGGCGACAGCGGCCGGTCGTTGCTGAACACGGTCGCTGAGCGTCTACAACTGATTGCTGATTGTCGATGCTCCAGCAAACATGTTGATGTCGCCGAGGGAGGCTACCACGTGGTTGATCCGCTCCTCGAGCCTGAGTTGCTTAGCCTGCGAGGCCAAAGTTGGGCTGCAGTCTGCCACTGCACTGCCCATGGACTCAACTGCAGCCAATTGTGCCAACCCCGTGCTGATAGTGGTCTGCACCTGGTCGTTGATGGCCTGCTGCTGGCTGTTTGCGTTCTGCACGGCGGTGATCTTCTGTTCCTGCGTCCGAAACGTTGCTTCGTAGCAGATGAAGATCTGCCGCATGGCCAGCAATTCGTGTTGCTGCCAGTTGCACGTGTACAACAGGTTTTCCATCAATACTGCTGTGGATTCCTTGTCGCTCTCTTCCTCGGTCGGCCCTTCTTGCTCTTCGGTTGCTTGGAAATGTTGTCCTCGAAGTAGTCTGCCGTATGTGGCTTCGTCTTTTGCGAGATCCATGGTGGCCTGGTAACGAGCTTGATTCTGACTTGCCTCGACCTGCTGCTGTTGCAACCGTGCGGCTGCTGCGGCTTCGGCTGCGGCCTGCTGACACGCTGGCTCTGCCTCTGCCAACTGACGTTTGATTTCCTGCTGCCGGGCGGCTTCCTCCTCTTCCAATTTGCTCAGTTCAGCTGCAGTGGTCTCCGAATAATGCTGGAGACGTTTGAGAAACGCTAGCTGCGTTTCATCTGCTTGCTGAACTGGTATAGGAGGGGCAAACGGCCTCGTGGGGCTGGCTCGAGCATTGGCGTCAGCGGTAGCGGCCATGGTCGTGCGTCGTCTGCACGGGATCCGAGGGATCTTAGGTCCCTTTTGGGGTTTTGCTCCTGTGGATTCACGCTCAGCAAGCCGTGGACTGCGATGCATTCAGGATTCTGGTCTTCGTCTGTTGCTGACCTGTCACCGCTGAGGTGGCACCTGCTGAGGTGGCACTTCTGAGGTGGCACTTCTGAGGGGGCCGCTGCTGATTCGGCACTCGGCTGTCGTGGCACGCTGAGGTGACACGCGGCTGATGTGGCAATCTGCGTTCATGGCCTGCTGTTGATGTGGCACAATTGTTGACGTGACCGGAGAATGAAGTCTGTAGTACCGAGAGGAGGAGAGAGAAGGTGGGGGTGGAAGAAGGGAAGGGAGGCAAACAATGCACAGACAGTCCCTTTCTTCCCTGATCTGGAACTTGGCACTAATCAAAAAAAAAATTCCCCTCCACGAAAATTTCAAATTTTAAGAAATTAAATATTTAATTATATAATTACGTAAATTTTAATTTGAAAATACGAGTTTAACTAAATAAATTTTAATTTTGGCAAAATATTAAATATTGAAAGAATATTTAACTTTGCAGCAATTAATTTGGCAAAAGTTAAATATTTAATTAACGAATATTTAAATCTGCACAGGTAAAAATGAATAGAATTTTAAGCAAGATTAAACATTTAAACATAATTTAATAATTTCACAAAATTTAATCGGGGGAGTTTAGCATCGTTACGAGGTCATGAAGTCAGTAGAAGATCAATGGTTGTAGGAAGATGCACAATTTGCTGAAAAGATTCAAACTTTAATCGCAATAAAAGATCCGTTTTGCAAAAAGTGAAACTTTCGTGAAGTTGCAGTTTGAATGTGGCAAACAGTGAAACTTCCGTGAAGTTGCAGTTTGAATGTGGCCGTGCTCACGCCCAATCTGCCTTAACTGGCGCGGTGCCTGGCTGGCACTTACTTCCCATAGGTTTGATAGGTCGTTTAGATTAGGTTAGGACTAACCCTAATTAGCGTTAATTAGGTTAATCGTGATTAGCGATTCCCTAATTTGCGCAGTATGGAGAAAAGTCGCAAAACCTAAAATTATAACTCAAACGACCTAATTACTATGTAAGTACGAGAAAAGAAAGAAAAAAAAATTGCAACTTGCGATTTAATGATAACTGAGTACAGGTCTAGATAATCAATCAATCAATCAATCAATTAATCAATCAATCAATCAATCAATTAATCAATCAATCAATCAATCAATTAATCAATCAATGGTGAGTCATCCAATGCTGGTCTGCTCCGATACCAAACAGTTGCATACTCGTGAAACACAGTCATAAGTATGGCGCAGATTCCCAGAACCGACCAGATAATACAAAGTTAATACCAATACAGATACAGCGAAAGACTTGAGATACATGGACTGACTCTGACCTGACTCAGACTGCAATCGAACACTCTCAATCATACATCAGGGGTGTGAAAGCCCTGGCCTTGGACATAGACGAACGGCCAGGGTCTGAGATCATCCACGGACGAATGGAGGAAGGAGAGAGACGAAGGGAGGAGGAGAGGGAAGATGCCGTCAACTCAATGTTTCCAAAGATAGTATCTTGCAATGTCAGAGGTAGCGCAAATCCGAAATGTCGCGAACACAGTGTCTCGGATATCGATCCCACAATGTCAAGTACATCTCCTGAGGAAGATGAAATCAGATCCCACGAGTAGTCATGAACCTATAGTCCCAATGTCGCTGTCTCCAATGTCATCAAAATCCGTAACCATCCTTCATACTTTTAGTAGTCCCGTAGGAGAACCCAGGAGTAGACTTAGACTGAGAAGGTAGGAGGAGAGAGAGAGAGAGAGAGAGAGAGAGAGAGAGAGAGAGAGAG